CATTATGTACAAAACTATGTTAATATCAACAGAACACGCTGAACATTATTCACTTGCAAATAGTAGAATGTATAAATTACTATGGAAAATACTTCATGTAGAGCTTCATTGTGTTTTTAGTTATACATATGTGGCGTTTCATAAAAGACAAATTTATATTTAGTATTCAATACATACAATAATGAAAGTAGTTCGGAAAATTAAATACCTCATATTATTCTAAATTGAATATATTTTTAATACTTAAAGAACTCTCATTATAATGTTACGTCTGAGATTATATTTGTATAATATTTATAAATATATTCCTAAGTTAAATTTATTTGATTAAATAGTTTACTTTTTTACTGCATTACATTTACGAATTCCAATTTTATTAAAACTATTATTTTACATATTTAATTAAACTAGAGTATTAAAATAAACTGTTTATTATAATTCATTTCATTATTCATTTTATATCGTTATATTTTGTAATAACAAAATTAAACGAATCAATTTATTTTTATAATAACGGATAATTGAATTTACAAAAAACTAAAACTGTGGAAAATTAAGCAAACTAGATTGATTCTTCTTAACATTAATTGTATACAGGGTGTCTCAGATAATTTGATCACCTCGAATAACGACCTAACGGTACACTTTATGAAAATTTTGAGTCGTGGAAATTAATTAGCATCAAGGGGCACATCTTCTAAGGTACGTGCTTTTTGTATGGGTGAAGGCGTTTCAGTAATTTCATGGTCACCTTGATTTTTTTCACGGAATGACCTATTTTTTGTACCATAGATCGATAGAGTAGCAAATTCTGAGTAGTAATGTGCTGACCTTCAAACGTACTAACCCTAATAGTTAACAAGATATTTATAAAATAATCACTGTATTGAAATCGCTGTGTTAAAGTCGAGTAGCATCATCATCTTTTGAGCACCCATAGCTTCCAGATAGTAAGTACAGTGGAGTCCGTTTATAGCGACATTCAAGGGACACAGAAATTACGTCGCTGTAAACGAATGTTGTTATAAGCAGAATGAAAATATATGTATATAAAGTATTGTGTATGGGAACCGAAAGAGCAAGTCGGATGCAATATGCGGTCTGCTGTTATAAACGGTGTCGCAATAACCGGACTCCACTGTACGTATTATAAATTATTTGTAAATACCTCATTAACTATTAGGTTTAGGACGTATGAACATGAACACATTTTTACTCAGAATTTGATACTCTACCTATCTATGGTACTGAAAATAGGTCACTTCGTTAAAAAAAATCAAGGTGACCTTGAAATCTCAAAAATGCCTTCACTCACAAAAAAAGCACGTACCTTGTAAGATGTGCCCCTTAATGCCATTTAAATTCCATGTCTCAAAATTTTCATTAAGTGTATCGTTAAGTCATTATTTGAGGTAATCAAGTTAGCAGAGACACCCTGTATACACAAGGGTGTCAGGAAAATCGTGGTGCAACCGTCTGGGTGTAGAATAAAATCTATTCCTGTGATGCTTAGGTTTCGAGATAAACGAATTTGAAAATTTGTTGGATAACCAGGCAATAAAATAGAACTTGGCTACCGCGTCTGTTCAGTGCAGGCTGGATCTACTTATTGCTAGCACAACTACACACACGCAATTTAGACGAACGTTTAAACCCAATTTTTTCGAAGTCTTAACTGAAAAAATAATTTTTCTTTTTAATCACTTATTTTTGTATGTAGAATCATCACCCGGTTGTGCCACGATTTAGGGAATATCCTGCATGTAAATAGTTACATTGCTATTCATTAGGAGTAGCATTAAACATATTTTAATGCTATTGCACCAACTGTGCTATTGTATACCCTAATGGTACTAGTCTCCCAATGTAACATTTATGTACATTTCACCTCCATCCTTTTCAAAATAATATTCTCTTATTTAGCACTTTTCCTAAGCAAAACAAATGATTATAATCACACACGATACGCTTTAGAAAATGCAGGGTTTTCAATTTCAAATATTTTCTGTACGATATAATTCATACCAATGGGCACAGAATGAGAGTATACCAAACAAATTTTACTTTTTTTTATAGTAGAGACCCGTAGCCAGAAATGAAATTGGAATTTAGCTGAACTACACAGGGCGAACTTCTTCTTTTCCCCTTCCGTTGTCGTAAGACTTCCAGAGATTTTCCAGTTTACTTTTGAAGCGAAATGAGGAAAACTTTCAAATAGAACTCGACGTGTTTTGTGACTACCTACAAGTCGGCCGAAACTTGGTGAAATTTCTTTATTACACCTTCGCAAGATTACATTGGTTTTTATGTCTCGCTGGGACCAATGCGGCCACTCACGCGCGATTTTTTTAAGAGGTTTCGTGTCCGAAGCATTAATTCAAGGGACCCGTTCCGCTGTGAAATTCATTTATGCTGTCCGTTGAAACTGTTACAAAAATCTCCGACGAAACTGCAGAACGACGAAGTAGCCGAACGAAAAAGCAGCGAAGCATTGAACAACGTTTGCGGAAAATAGTAGCAGAAAACGTTCATAAACTGAACATAGAACATCTAAAAATGTAACAAAAGAAAGGTGTGTATTTTTGTGGAATATTCGAATCGTCTGCTCAGAATTTTGCGAATAGTTCTGCATTTTAACCAATTGCGTCCAGACATCTCTGCAAATATTTCAATTCTTGCTGACGTCAACGTGCTCGAAGTAAGTTCGCGCTTCGTCGATGCAAATAATTTCTGTTGCTTTGAAAATAAGTTTACTACGTTTACACCGTCGAGAATATTATCGGTATTCGCGAAGAAATAACAAAAGAGAGAAAATATTTTTGCTTCGAGGGAATAAATTTTTTTAGGGTCGAATTAATATTCCTTATCTTTCGTAATTTTTCACCTGAATCGAAATTAGGTGTCTTTTGAACACTACACGTGTAGAGGATCTCTCTACGAATTTGTCCGCGCTGTCCGAAGTACTCTTTGTGAATTTTGCCTGATGCACTAAAAAAATTATAATTCCTGAACCCATGCGCGCCAAAGTAAAAGCGCTCTCCGCTGAAGCCAGTTAAATTGGCTGTAGCAGCGTGAGAAATGCCACCGAGTCGGTAGGTACTCTCGGTAACTTTCTTACCCGTTTCCATGCTTCGTTCGAATCGCGAACTTACAGCTTACGTTTTTCTTGATAATTTATCGACTGAAAGAATGTACAGTGATTAGGCAAACAGGGCGACACTCATGCAGAAGCGACCAATGAAATAAAAGGAAGAGAGACGTAGTTACGTCGAAAAGTACACACTGAGACGTTAAACAAAAAATGAAATACCTCATACCTTACTGTCGTACAGAACATTCTCATGGGAAATCTTTTTTTATCGGGTGTTTTTTTATGTGGGTTATTTCAGTTCGCATCATCCAAACACTATTTACAATTTATTTAAAATATATGTCTGGAAGTGACAGAGAACGTACACCCTGAACTTTACAGAAAACTAATTCAACCATGAATTATTAATTAAAAATTGTAGTAAAACCGTTGGGTATCCGACAAAGTATTAATTTATAATTTGATTGGTAAAATGATTGGTATCCAACTTATTTTAGTCAAGATAGTAAACTATACATTTTCGCAATAAATTGGTGCTTTCATTAGTTTTGCCAACACTAATAATTAATTAGAGAGGTACATATAAGTGATAATGTGTTCAATATGCTAGCGACGCAGTACGTATATCCAATACTGTAGGACCACAAATGATTTATTTCCACGGTACAGCATTTCAAATTTTCTTATTGGAGATAGTCTTCAAAATGACTTCATTAAGTAAGAAAATACGTTTCGCAGCGTCGCTTCATGAATTTTTGAATTTTATTACTTTTTTACTCTTTATTACTTCGAATGGTATGACAAGTTTCTACAATACTTTTTCTTTTCTAAACATTGCATTAATATAGAAATTACTTAAGTTATCCACAAACAATATGGTAAGTAAATTTTCTGGCATAACACAGTTTGGACATTACGTATGTATTTTTAAAATGAAACATTCGTGGACTTTAGCTTATTGGATGTTTTTTTTGCCAATACACTGTGTAAAGTATATTTATGAAGCTTGACTACGTCATTTACTACCATTATATATCATGTGACTTAATTTCAAATAGTTTAATTCTTATTCCAAAAATGTTAACCGCTGAAGATTACTATCATCCCTACCATAGAGATATATCTCGGAACGCAGATGGTGTTTTCAAAATGACTTCATTATAAAAAGGGTTATAACTAAATGGCAGCCATTCTCTTCTGTTGGTAGATATATAATGGAAATAACAATATAATAAGATGCGTATGTTGAATTTTTAATAAACAACAATTCTGCATATACAGACACATTTTTTAATTTTCTGTTTTATTCAACAACTCAAAGGTATGTCACTTTTCCACCAATTCCATATTGTAAAAATTGCATTCATGGAACCGCGGGGAATGGCGTACTCTTGAAATCCGTTTGGCAGTATTCTGAATATATTTGTCCTAAATCACGCAACAAAGAATTTTCTGACACTTGATATTACTCGAAATTTCATTACTTAGGAAATTACCCCATTTTTCTGTATATCATAAAGGTATACCTTCTCTCTGGCATAATAATTTTATCAAGAAATTTCATCAAATTATGAGAAACCTGGTATTATTGTAACAGGTTATCCACCCGTAATCAACAAAACACACGTGTTTTAATTACAATTCTACGGAAGTGAATATCATCGCGATGAAGAGAACAGCAAACGTATTGTTTGCTGGGGCCGTCCGCCTTCAAACAAAGAACGACCAACAACACATAATTAAGAGGTAGGGGGCATTTAAATATTGTCTGGTTTCATTCCGGTCGCATTTCTGTGCAGCGGTATAAAGGAACGAGGTATTTCATATGGTACTTTAAGCGCCCGTGATTCCTATAATCGAGTATTATGCATAAAATGAAATCCCCATCGGGGATGAAAGGAATGCGTACCTTGTAACCTAAATAGGCGAGCAGCAGGGCTTCCGTAAGCGATACTATTGCCAGGATCACTTGGACGACCCACAATTCCAGGGGTCTTCTCACCCATAAAATCGCGTCCCAGTTGATGGTCGGATGCTCCTGAAATTCTTCCTCCGTAAGGTGCTGGGACGCGAGGAACTCGGTTTTGTTGCCGGGCGTGCAACCATAACTGGAAAAGGGATTTAAAAAAAAAACAGCTGATGAAGTTCCAGAAGCTGGTATGCCGCGGCGAAATTTTTTAAAAGCTTCCCGATAATGTTCTAGAAAGTAGGGGCCCTGACGGAATTTTTAAAAGCTTCCAACGAACTTTCGAGAGTGAAAAAAGGATTTAATGGAACCGCCCTAATCGCTTTTGATTCGCCGTGACGTGAAGTTCAGATATTTGTTACACAAATTTTTTAAGTGCAACAGCGAGTGTAATTAACCTTTGAATTGGCGATAACGAGTGAACACGTGATTTGTATTTTATTATGTCTTTCGAGATTTTCCATTTTTTATTTATGCATTTAATTTTATTGTACTATTTGTAACAGGATAAATTATATTGTTTGTAAAAATAATGTTATATTTGTCATAAAACCAAAACCAATACAATTTATTTCGAGGTAAGTCGTATCAGATCTTTTATAGTTACAGGTGATCTGTAGTTGCAAAATTTGTCAGTTAAGAAATTAATTAATTTATTGTGCTTAATACATAACTTGATGAACCTACAGAACCATAAATATTGAAAAACTGCTACACTGTAATTGAATACCAAAAGTAATAAAAATATTCAATATCAGTAACAATTACAAAATTTCATAGCTATTAAGGGTATACATATGTATAATAGATTAATAGGGTGAGTCTCGTAAAGTGACAATTTCAAATAACTCGTAAGTTATTTGTTGTACAGAAAAATTGTTCAAACAAATCTTGCATGGTTTCCAGGGGGGCATACAGTGCTGTTTTACGTTATTTCGTTTTTTTATCAAGATATGAGCGTTACTTTCAATTTTTTAAATAGAATGCCCAATGTTTTGTCCAGAATACGGATGACGCACCAAATTCTGCATAAAAGAATATTATTCCATAGGGGGTTTAAAATTAGTAATCTTCTATTAGGAAATATTTCGTAATGCTCAGCTAACGTGAGAACACAATTTTGTTTACAACGGCAAGTCATGTTTGCAAACACGTTCTTTGTTAGATGTTAGACATCATCGATATGAAATGTAGCTGACTTTAGTAGTTGTTTAGTAGCTCAGTAAACGTAAAAGTAAGATGTTAATCAACAAAGTATCCTGATCGAAATCAGCTATCACGTTTTACCTTTCTAAGGCTCAGTAAAAAGCTCCAAGAACATGGCAGTTTTAACGTACAAAAACGTAACTGTCGTAAAATTGTAAATGATGTAGCATGTCGTACTTCTACCTTAGCAGCTGTTACTCATAATCCACATATCAGTACACGGTAGATTTCGCGTGTTTCGGGTATTAGTCAAAGCCGTGTTGTGCGTATTCTTCATTCGGATAATTTTCACCCGTATTACCTGTCAGTACATCAGAGGCTATATGGACGAGACTTTTAGAAACGTGTACAATTCTGTGATTAGTTGTTGCACCAGATGAAAAATTCGAATGGTACATTTGTACAGATTGTTTGCAATATCAAATTGCTGAGATATTTATACAAACAATATGCATTATTGGGCAACAGAGAATACACATTGGATTCGTGAAATTGACCACCAACATCGGTGGAAAGTAAATGTTTGGTGCCACATAATTGGTGACCAAATCATTGAACCGTGCTTCATCGAAGGATCATCAACAGGACAAACATACTCCACATTTTTGTCTGAAACACTACCAGGCCTATTAGAAAATGTACCGTGTCTAAGAACTCAAATAATATGGTATCAACAGGGGGCTGTCTGGTTCATTGTACTCGGCAATTGCGGCAAATATTAAATAGGATGTTTCCTAATCGATTGGATCGGATGGGGCAGTAACATTGGTTGGTCAGCTCGCTTGCCAAATTTAACGCCGCTCGATTATTTCTTTTGGGGAACATTAAAAAATGAAGTTTATCGCGAGCCCCGAACGACGGCTGAAAATATGCGAGAACTTATTATTAGTGCATGTGCCGCAATAACTGCAAAAAGATTAGATAAAATTCTTTGTTCGGTCATAATCCTAAAAAGTATTTTACGAAACATGCATTTTAAACCCTATTCGGTGTAATACTCTTTTACGCAGAATTTGGTGCTTTATCCAAATTCGAGAAAAAATATTGGGCATTCTATTTAAAAAACTGAAGATGAGCCTCATATGTCAATAAAAAATCGAAGTAATGAAAAACATATTACAGCATTGTATATCCCCCTTGAAACCATGCAACATCTGTTTGAAATTTTTTCGTACAACAAATAACTTACGAGTTATTTGAAATCGTTGTTACGAGACTCACCCTGTATATTGATTGTAAATTTTCTTAAATCAATGTAAAATTAAAATAAGGAAACAGAATTTATGTAGGGATTTAGTAATAGAACAGTTGGCAGCAGTAAGGCATAGCGCGCGTCAATGTTGTGTGAACAGACACGAATAAATGAGAGAACGACAGAGAGCGTGTGCTAATGTATAACCATATATTTTAAACAGTATTATTAAACGTTGGTATATATTAATATGAGCATTATTTTATATCAATAACCAACAATTTATTTACGACTCGAACTAATACTACAGAAATCCGGTATTAATTTATTTAATAAATACAACTAAAAAGAGCATGACTACTACAAATAGTTAAAACAAATATGAAGTACAAATTCTGAGGGTTACCTAGGGTGGTTCTGCGTAACAAGGAGGATTAAAACAGACTTAACAAGAATGATATAGATCAACTAATAGGAACTAAAAATTTTGAATGTGGGATGTTCCATCTTTAGAAAGTTTTCCGGTCATTAATAGTCGAGATAATATCAGGTCATTCTATAAGTAATACAGATTGTCGATACGTACATTATACGAAAATTACTAACTTATTATTATTATTAATTGTTCAACGATATATTTTGAATTTCTGATCCAATACTACAATAGTAATTGATGGATATTGTTCAATAATAACCTGTACAACATTTTTGTCTTCGAGCGTATGGTTGCTTGCTCAAGTTTTCTGGACAACATTTAATACCAATTAATATAGTCTTTCCAAATATCCGAAATATGTCTTTTACGACCACAGTTGCATGACCCTCTTAATTAAATTCATGTAACATAAGTGAAATTTTCAATCTATACTCTTCAACTTTCGGTATGATATTGTTTGAAGACTTTATTAAAGTTAGCACATATACTAATCAGTAAACTACGGATTTTATGCATTTACATCCTATATGTATAACTCTAGTAAAATATAATAAAAAACAAAACTGTCGTCCGACGGGACGAGTTTTGTATTTTATTCTGATCCCAATAAAATACTTAAGAGCAATACTAAATTCCCATTATTTTTAAAATAATAATAGTTTATTTACGGGTCTACACTCTTTGGTTAATAAAATACATAGAGTAATCTAGCTACATAGTTGACAGCGTGTAACGGTCCATATATGTTATATGATTTTCAAACGTATTAGTGAATACAATTGCTTTCTGCGAAGAATTTATCCATGCCTGTGTAAATTACTTTATAAAATGTAATTTTGCATAAAAATCCACTGTCTACTAATAGGATAACGAATGATCGTATCGAGTTACATCATTTCAAATACAGCTCTTGAAGAAAAGACAACACGTTTCAAAGAATAACCCAATACCTAACCAGAATAAAAAAAAAACTTCCGAGAATCAGAATAAGGGAAAAGTTCAAACATAAGAAGAATGAAACAAGTAGCAAAAAGAAATGACCACGATATCACAGAAAAAAGAATTCAGTACACGATAGAGGGAGCGTAGTCTGAGCGTAGAGGAGTATTACACGGAGGGAAATAATAAAATAGAAGATGTAGTAGACAAGAGACAACGTTGCAACGGAGTACAGTTCACGAAAAAAGGGCGAGGGCAAAGGACGGCTAGAGGGATAGATGGGACGCGGCGGTAGAACTCTAGGAATCTTAGCATTTAAGGAGTATCGCGGCTCTTAGAGACTCGCGGCGGGAAAATGCAATGCCGTTTCAGCTGCGAAAGTCTTATCTCGGTTTTATTTTCAGACCGCGATGCTCGTTCGGCAAAATATCGCAATTTTGTATAAACGTTGGACTGAAACCGCGAGCAGAAATGAGTTTCTTTGCCCCGTGAAGGAATTTTTCTGACGTCGTCTCACGGCGAAAAGTCAAACGATAAAACGGTACCAAGTTACAAAAAGGGAAAACATTTGCAAGCCCTATCGCGAGAAAGATAAATTTTACTATAGTAAATTTTTATACGTTTCTAAACCGTAATACAGGATTTCTATTCGTTCTGGAACATAATAAACGTTTATGGGAAGCCACATAAAAATGCAAATATTGGGTCGACTCGTAAGTAACATATGTTTTTTTATTTCTTAGAATTATTCGAATCTAAAAGACGCTAGAACTACTTTTACGTTAATCTGTATCCTTCGTGTTTATTAAATGTTATAACTACATGTAGATCCTATGAATTCTCATGAATTTAGGAGTTATAATGAAATGAAACTTGAATCTAACATTTAATAAGTATGTATTTTATTTTTCTTTGTACTGAAATCATGAGTGCAAAAAATATGCAGATATGTAATTGTTTTTCTTTTTCGTATATTGATTTGTAGAAATCGGAAGTTGTATAAATATCCGCTAATTATTACGAATTGTGTTATTTTTACTGCTTTTCATACCTAATCATTATTTAATTATTTATAATGTAACCTAACGATAACCTCATCAGAAATGTTCCACAGAACAACACAACAACGCAATAAAGTTTTGAAGTGAAATATGTAGGAAAACGACACGTAGATTGGCAAGGAGATTAATTATTTTAATTATAACAACTCACCATGCTGCATAAGTAGGATCGTTGTCGGTGATAACTCGGAATATGTATAAGAAACATGTTAGCAACTTGAAAAACAAATTCGCCAACCGTATCCTTAAACCTGAAACATAAAGAAGGAACTCCTGAATACAGCCATAAAAATTTTTTAATATTATATACATACGGTTACTTTATCATTCATTAGAATATTATCACTAATATAATCGCAATAAAGTTTAATATTATAGGGTAAACGCATCAATGAATGAATACTTAAGAGATATTGTAATTATTACAGTAGAATTTTAATCGATAGTAACATTCATAAATATTTGGCACATAAAAATTGGACATTTTAATATCTATACCTTTTTATAACATAGAGTAAGTGCACCAGTAAATGAACATGCACCAGATAATGAACATTATATATAAAAAAATAGAAAATTAACTTATTAAAGTAAGCAAATAATTGAATATTAATTATTTCCAATTCTTTGTTTTATATTCAAACAATATTCGCGCCACTGCACTGGTTATAAATGTTAATTTATTTAATATTATTCATTCACTGGTGAAATTTATATTTTTTCCCCTTTCATACAGTTAATTACATTTTTCGAATTTTTAAAATTGAAAACTATACGTTATAAACACATATGTCTAGATATTAGATCTAATTCTCGTGTGTCAAATATTCAATATCATTTAAAATTCGACTTGAATGGTAACAAAATCTCTTAAGTGTTTATTCATTGGCGCGGTTACCCCATAGATTCCCATTTGAAAAATTGGAAGAATGTAATTAATTAAATTAAAAAGGAAAAATACAGATATCACCAGTGAATGAACAATATTAAGTAAATGAATATTCTAGCATGAAAATTCTTTGATGATCCATTAAGGAATTGAAAAACATCAATATTTAATCAGTTGCTTATTTTAATAACATCATTTACTCGTTAGTATATGCAGGGTGATTCACCTAACGCTGCCACCAAATTTACTTATAAGCTGCTTGTTGTATGAAAAAATGTTTCAAAGAAAAGTTGTAAACTATGAAAGAGGGCACACAACGTACGAATTAGGTTTTTGTTATTTTGCTTTTTTGTCGAGATACGGTCACCTTGATTTTTTATATCATAATGTGTAAAATTTAATCGTGCAATTGGAGAAAGCGTTGAACGTTGAGTGGAAAACTATTGGGTATATGGGTCTAAAATCGAAGAATTACTAAGATATTCTTCAGTAAATGATGATAAGCTTTCGTAAATGTAAAATCTGTACACTTACAACCGTTTTTCGGACTTGACGCCATTTAACCTAACCACTACTTTCTTTGGGAACATATACACAACGAAAAACATATCATTAGAGCATGTATTGTTATAACTCAAGCAACACTTGAACATGTGTCATTTGCACTTATGAAGCGATTACGCACTTGTATTAGTCCACTGATTGTAACGGGCAACATTTGGAGCATTATTAACATTAAAAAAAAACATTTAACGTATACGGTAGTCATTTTGTGAAAAGCGACTGTACCTTCTCATGGCACACGAAGGTCGCTTCGAAACAGGCAACTATGAAAGGGTTAAACCGAACGTAGTATCATTAAATTCTTGTGAAAGCTCGAACGAACTAAATTTTCCCAAAAATATCGAAGAACAAACTCGTCACCGGATGAAAGGATACGTGTGTTGCAGGCTATTGGCGTCTAACGAACCGGAGCAGGTTATTTTAATCGTGGTGTTGCGAACCTTTGGCAAGGCATCGATCTTTTCGCGTTCGACGCGCCGATACACGGAAGGTCGGTGTACGCAAGCGATCGAGGTTGATATCGGCACGATATCGGTTACGGCCTGTACCATCGGCTTCAAAAGATTATGCTTTCCCGGGCAGACATCTACATGGTTGTTCGTGTCACAATATCACGGCGTTCCTGAAGTTACGTTACTGGCATGCAACGAGTTACGTGTCATAGAGAGGAATTTCCGGCGCCGTGAACTCTTTTGCGATCAAAAGCTTCACGATCACCTCGGAGCGACAGATGTCGATAAAGAGTAAACGATCTTTTCCCGTGACAGTCAATTAGTGTTCGTTTTCACAAGACACATAATCCTATGTGGACGTTCACGAATCAGATTAATTTAACGGAACAGCTTGAGAGACTGAATTGTTGTAGGGTAAGCGCACCAATTAACGAACACTTAACCCTCCGAGCACGGAAACATGGTGACCGGTCCCTATGTCATTTCTGACCCCACACCGATATTCTACTACTACACAGCGATGGCGAGGCTCGAGCTCGAAGCCCTCGCCGACACTGCACTAACACAGTGGCAGTATGGCTCGAGCTCGAGACCCTCACCGATATTACTACGCAGTGGCAGTTGCTCGAACTCGAGCTCCAGCCACCGTCACCATGTATACAATGTAATGATTAACTGGTTCCACATTACATTTGGATTTTCGTGGATCTTATTACACTAACTAGAATAAAAATCTCGTGAATTATAAAACAAATTATATTTATTAGTCAATACTTCTGCAGCGTTTTGGCCCGGTCGTTTGCATATAAACAAACATTGGTCGCTATGCGATTACGCTCTCGTTCTCGCGTGACCCAGGGACCGTGCTCGGAAGGTTAAAGGGGGCTATTCAGGTATGAATCAGTTACCAGTAATTTTCCAAATAAAATTTTCAAAATACGTACGTTCATGTCGTTTCCTACTTTGAATTCAATTATGTAAAAACTAAATTTTAAGTAAATTTCTTCCATTGTTTCGTTACGAACCAAGGGATAAAGGACTTAGGGACACAGACGAACCGATGCTTAAAGAACAGGTTGACTTCGGAACTTTGTAATTAAGAATACAGTATGCTTCGAGCGGTAACAGTGTACTGGTGTGGATTTTACTCGACCTAGGAATTCGGATATGATTGAAGGCTTGTAAATGAATTGAATTCTATGTTTATAGACTAAGTAATACAAATATATTCTAAATCAGTCGTAGGACTTCATAAATGTTTCAGTTGCAAGTGTCGTCGGAACTAATTCCTTCCCTGATGTTCACGCACCAAGAGAGAGTGCAGGGTCATGTTAAAGTAATGAATTTACGTAGTGTATATGGTTATGAATGCTTGAAGAGGATTAACCCGATCTAGCTAATATGTCTCTCGTCTATGGAAGTCAGACTCCAAATGTGACCATCGAGGATACGTCAGTGGCCATGGTATAATGTTCATTCACTGGGGGTTGTCGGTTTATTGGACAAGTTGCATATTCGCAATGTATCAACAAGTCACAATATTGTTCCATGTTTTAGTAACAAAAATTTGGTGAATTCACACGTTCGCTATCACTACATTGTTTCGAAAAGGTTCATCAGAGACCAGTCTATAGGTCTCCGTCATTCTTTTCAGTGGAATGTTATTACGCTCTTTATTAAATATTAAAGATACGCAAAACAGAGATAGTGAATAACATAAAATTTAGGCGAATATTGCATAACACATGCTACTTTTATCAAATAAAGTGTATGGTGACTAAGAAATTGGAACGTTACATATACACTACCGGCCAAAGTTTGAAATCATTTACTGATTCCAATCAAAATTGAATGTCCTGATAAATTTTTGACTGACTCGTCGTTAATACACCAGATGGTAACAGGAATACATTCTAATTTTAAGAGATTTAAGTATTTTCTTATATCCAAAGTACCCGTATGTAACTCATAATTCTAATTTAACCCTCAAAGACTACACATGGTTACAGTAACCCAGTCCCTCCGAAAGACATCTGGCATTTCTGAAGGGCAAAGGGTGGAAAATTAGGACTGCATATGTTTCGTCAAAATATTTGTGACTAAATTACACACATATTGCAGATATAGGGAAGAAACCCCTCTGGGTTATGCCAACCCATGTGTGGTTGAATCGGTCATTGAGGGTTAAGGATTAAGGCCACACTTAACCTGATCTTTCCTACTACATGAAAAGACATTCTATTTTCGCATCATATGTTTAGTCACAATGACAGTGCAGTACTATAACATTAGTTCCCAATGCCTAGAGTATCTCAATTATTAAAATTAAGGGCAGTTTTTTGACGAAAGGGGCATTTGCGAATAAAATATGTATACCTTTGCAAACAATTGTGCAAAATGTAAAAAAATATATGGTTTACTAGTTCTTTTTAACAAATAAAGCTTCCTCAGTTACTTTCAAGAGTTCATTATTTCTTAACGAGATCCTATTTCTCTTAATTCATGAAGTGGTTTTGAACTTTTGGACGGTAGTGTATGTGACGCCTACTTGCCAGACTTAGCACAATCTGATTCACAGCAGTATCTAAAAATGTTATCCTGACATTTAAATAGTTAATGAGATTAAATAATATTTGCCAAGTGTATTATGTTATTATACAAAATTGGAATTTTCACGTTTATTCAATTCCAAATTGTGAATTACTTATATATCTTTTATTCGTTGCTCCGAACTCTTTATCCAGGTAATGAAGCGAATGTAATCCTGTGGACAATTGAAGGAATAATAAGTTTCATGAAGTTTCAGGCAATTAAAAAACTTCAAACTGTAATATAAAATTTTGAAAAGTGTAGACTTTGGTGTTTGCACTAACAGTAACATTTGACAGAGAAAGTATTTTGTCGAGGTATCCAGTCACTAAATGTCAGTGATCGATAAATGTTTGATACGACACGCGATGCTTCAAATGAAGCGAAAGTCGTAACAAGAATTATAAAACGACTGTGGTGTAACGGTTTACGTCCGTATCTAACGACGTAATGTGAAAATCTGGGGTTCCATTGAAGGGTCAGTTTGAAATTGCAACTGTGAACTCCATTTGTAAATGACACCGCTGACGCACTACTATATGGATCATACTGCCTTGCATGCAGGTCGTATGATACATTAAAACCCCGAGCAAGAATTTATAAATAACGTTCTACAATTCTATTTTAAAACTCGTTCCGACTGATGTGCCGTACGTTGCTCTAATAGTTCATGGATAAATTATTCTGTTGAGGTCTGTGATGGACAGCAGATATATGTTTCAAGTTATAGGATGAAAATTGTTGTAAAATTCCAATGACATATTAAATACAAAATGAAATTGCATATATAGTGTACATCTTTAATGGAATGTACAAAAACACAGAATAAACAATTAAAAATTACAGCTTTTCACAGCTTTTACAAATCTTCACAACTACGAATTAAGACCAGAATTTTTTGAAGAATAAATTGTAACGAAAGTTACTTACTGGAACGTTGGTTCTTGATAAAATACAGTTGAAGTCGTTCTTTGAATGTGTTCTCGTTCACGTAATATTCGACCCGAACTCTGAAAGCAAAGGGAAAACATGACATTATGTTCTATATATTAATATTTTTGTGTAATCTATGCTATGATAATATAAATTATATTCCATATGACACTTTGTAAATAATATGTTAAAAATTAATTATATTTGAAACTGTTTTTTACGAAAGTGGTGTGGGTCTTTTTTTTTAATTTCGAGGTATTAACCGTTTTGTATCTAACGTCAACATATTTGGAATGGAATCAGAGGCGGTTTGCCTAGCGTTATTTTGTTATTTTGTTATCGAAGGATTTATGATAAGGACTTACGCAGGCCATACACATGAGATGGTAGGCCGTGGCAAATGCATGGCCGTGAGTGAGAACGCTGAGAAAGAGTTACGAAGAGTGACAAGTGATGTTATTTTGTCATGCGTAAATAAATTTAACCCTGGCTCCGTGTTTTTATTTTAAAGAATTTGCAAATTTATTTATTTATCTCTTCATTATATTAATTTTTGTACCACTCTATCAACTTGACACTGAGGGACACATCAAGTTGGGAAAACGAGGAACGGATGAGGGTTAACTTCATTTATGATCAATTTTATAAAAACAATCCTTTTGTTAAACAGAAATGAACGTATACCACTTTCAAACGAAAACATGTATGCAATTAATATTTAATAGTCAAACTAGATTTGACTAATTCATGAAAATATTCAACTGCATTCACTTTGCGATTAGAAATATAAAAGAAGACATTCATCCATAGCCGAAACTAGCTTTAATTCATTTTTTCTTAAGATTAGATTTATACAACTTTTATAAAAAAACGGGTTATATATGTTATTATCTCTTAGACTCAACTTTGGATAAAATAATTTCAGACGGAATCCCATCTTCCCCAATTCCATTTCACCGTACCTTTCTATCCGTTCCACTACTCACGAATCAAAGGGATCATCGCAAGAATTACAGAGCAGAGGAGAACAATTGGTTCAAGCACATTTGTATAAAACGTTCGCATGAAAGTCTCTCCGGGCGGACTGGAGTGTTCTCATTATCAAGTAAGAGATCCTTGATTACCATTCGACAGACAGACAGACAGCAGAGCCATTTTTCTAAACGCCCTGCGCCGTAGCTACCACGTCTCCGTCCAGTTTCCATACCAAGCCAATTCCATTGAACCGGGGCGTTGCGTCGTTTACGCGGTCGGTTGTAAGCCGGCGGCGGCGGTGGCCTTACGGCCTTACCCGTTATTTCCACGGCACGGACAACACACGTCGGTTTCGTCGAGAATAGCATCGCGTGACGTCACCGTGGGCCGACGTCAACAGACGGTCTGTCGTACACGCGGATGGTTTCAAGTTGTTGAACTGGTTCTTTGACCCAGATAACGTCACGAGAGAGCCTGACCTACGAGGAGAGTCGATGAACGGAACAGGCTCACAATAATGTCACTCGTGGGGAGATCGTTGAGCAGAAACGTTTGTATTCGGCCAGTGGCGGCTGGGAAAGGGTGATAAGATTGCTCTTTGTACAGCGATTAGGCCAGATTTAGCTAGAGAAACAGTTGGTAGCTAACTTGGAGATTGTTTGCACACGGTATCGGAGGGGTCTTGATTGTATCAATTAGCTTACTTTATCCGTATGTGGACACCCGAAATGGTCACGGTTATTAAGCAACCAGAATACCAGGTATCCCAAGTGCCCCGTTCCGATAGATGCGACAAACATTGATAATTTTACTCTTGTACTTTCGGGTGTTACGAGCCAGGGCTAAGCGGCTACGAGAGCCGAGGAAATGGCGAGTTTGGTTTTTTTAAAGTTTGTTACGTGAATGAACCTGTGCCTATTTCATCACAGGGAACCACTAGGACAGGTTGTCGTGGACGAACCCGAGCCTATTTCATCTCAGGGAGCCACTAGGATTGTTAGTATGGGCCTCGTAACTTTTAATAATTCGGTACACTTCGAGCGGTAAAAGTGTGCCTTTGTGAGTTCGCTTCTAACTGGGAATTTAGATGTTATTCTAGAGTTGAAATGAACAACACTGAATTTTAAATATATGAACGTATGAAAGTATATTCAATAAAGTAAAGGTTTTACAAATAGTACTGTAAAGTGTGGTCGCGGATGCTAATTCCAACGTTCTCGGTTTTCACGTATTGAGTAATGCGGGGATTTGTTATGCAAAGTTTAGCTTGCTTTTAGAAATGTTTGACAAGGACTTTAATACCCGATCTCACTAGCTAGACTTCTGATATGAGTATGATCCGCGGATGAGCTGTACGCGTCCCTGTTTATATCCCGAAAATTGAGTCTAAAAGTAGTGGGGGACACGCCTGTTCTCAACGGAAACTGTTTTCCAAGGAAATCTGGCCACGCCATAACACCCCGTGGGCAATTACGTAATCTGGCCGGATGCATTCCAACTCCCGAGAGGGTTAAAAGGTCACGAGAGTGTCTTCGTACGTAACACGGGAAAGTGATAGTTTTCCCGTCTTGTAATATACCAAATTGTGTTTTAAACGATTAAGCGAAAATGTTACTCGAAACTGTAAAACAGTTCAATGCTAAAGTCGATCATCCGTGTCATTCGTATGTATACGTGTTGCTATTGACTCTCTATGGAGGTGATTGTTAATAACTGTATTTATGCTAATAAATAAACAGTTTTAACCTTTAAAGGATGGGCAGATATTTTCATGATTTTTTATATTTGTGAATTAGAAACTTCTGTATGTATAACGAAAAATAAGCGATTCCTCGGAAGCGTAAAAGTAGGCTTCGCATCCTCTACAGGTTCATTAAAAATCTTGTGTTCTATAGAATTTCTTTGTAGAACTTCGGTCCATAATTTATCTATCTACAACCTTCCTTATATGGGTATCCGGGTACCCTAGGAAGGATAAACGGTTTAGAAACTGTTTGAAAGGCAAACCCCATCAAAACTGTATTAATAAGATCCAAGTGACTTAAGAACTGAAGGCTATACAATAACTTTATTGCAAAGAAATTGTTCAAGTCGTATAATTTCAAGGACTGGTGGGTTGTCAATTGGCTACCAAAATCATGAGATCTGACACCTGACTATCTGATTTCATTCTTTGGGACTATGTGGAAAGGAAGATCCATTTAGGGCATTGAGTTGCAATTATACAGAAATACTATAAAAAATTTGGATAAAAAATCGTTCACCCGTAGAAAAATACATTTTATATAATTGCCGTATATTCAATATTATTTTATGATAAACGAACAAAACATTTTTTAATCATTTCTACTGAACAAATCTTTTTAGCGAAAAGGAACAAGCTAGTTTCAATGAAAAACCCTGTATTAGTGATGATTTTCTACCATCCGACACCGTTTGTAGTCAATAAAATGTTTGAATCAGATTTTCAACTCAAACTACATTACCTCACAATTAAAGAACAATATTAGATTACTTATTGATACACCTGCTAGTTCAACTGCATGCAACTCCACATATAATTCTATTTTAGTTGAGAAGAATCTCGAAAAAATGGCCTTGAAATTCATGAAACCGCTAAAGGGAAGTGAAGTTTGAATAGTTGATTATATCACTCGCGGCGTGCAGTGTCATTCTCGCCTAAGTTGACCATTCGCAGAATGATGCAAACTGTTCTGGTTAAAGTGGTAAACTCTGTATGTACACTCGCCGACCAATTTCAACGTCATTGTATTCTGTCACACTCAGATAACACCCACGGCTGTCTAATTAACAATCTGTGTCCGCCAGCGTGGGTGTGTCTATTTTCTGTATGTTAGAGTTAAGTGGGGAAATTCGTTTACAGGGCCCACATTTCTTTTTTTTTTTTAATTTTAATCGATAGTATTCACAAAGAATATACGAGGTCTGATCAAAAAATTCCAGGACTTATTTTTTATAAATTTATTGAAAATTCGTACAAGTTATTCAACACTGTCCCCTTCAAAGTACTCCCCATGGCAAGCTATACATTTTTCCCACCGCTGTTTCCATTGCTGGAAGCATCGGGAAAACGCTTCTTCTGAAATGCTGTTTAATTCCATCAGCGATTTTTCTTGTATTTCGTCAATCGTGTGAAATCTCTTTCCTTTCAGCGGGTACTTAAGCTTTGGAAACAGGAAAAAGTCCGCAGGGGCCAGATCGGGAGAGTAGGGGGGCTGGGGTAAGACTGTTATGCTGTTTTTTGTGCAAAAATCATGAATGAGCAGGGCCGAATGAGCGGGTGCTTTGTCGTGATGCAAAAGCCACTCCCTGCTTTGCCTGAGTTCAGGTCTTTTCCTCCTCACTGCTTCGCGCAAGTTTCTCAGGGTTTCGCGGTAACGAAAACGATTAATCGTCTCACCTTGCGGAAGAAATTCGTGATAGACAACACCCTTCCAGTCAAAGAAAACTGTGAGCATCACTTTCACATTCGATCTCACCTGGCGAGCTTTTTTGGGTCTCGGAGAAGATTTTGACGTCCACTGTGATGATTGGGTCTTGGTCTCGACGTCGTACCCGAAAGCCTCCCGTAACATTTGAAAAGTTTCCGTGAATGTTTTTTTCATTTTCACACAAAATTTCACACAAATGCGTTGTTCTTCTTTTTCATTCATCATAAAATCGCTGAACGCAAATATCTTGTTTCACTGAAACAGCTGTAGATTTTCAACCAAGAAGGTTATCGAAATTTTGCAAACTCGGTCGTCCTCAGGAAGGTTAGCACTAACATTTAAAACAATTGCACCACGCTCCGACCTTTCGTTGGCGCGCAATTTAAACAGTCCTGGAATTTTTTGATCAGACCTCGTACTTCGAAAGTTATATAGCAAAATTCAAAATGTTTCTGTAGTTATTGCTTGGGGAACTGGTATGCGTCACGCTGGTATACGGGCGCGCCCACTGTACTCGACCACTCGGTCCTTATCACGGTATTATTGAGCTCAGCCGATGTTTGTCAAAGTAAGTATGTATAATCAGCGTTTATAGCCAGGTAGACTGTGTACCTATTTGTATGTAAGTGTAGCCGAGGCAATTGGTTTTT